TCCTCCCTTTCCACAACTACGTCTTATGGTAATTGCTGCCCCCAGTCACCGTGACTGCCACCGCCACCGATCTCTCTTCTAGTTCTACGACATCGCCCTTTCGCTTTCCATTTCCACAGCTGTCTCTGGTGGAAATCGCTCCCCCTCCCCTGAGTGATAGTCATCGTCTTGTCCCCTGCAGTTGCTATTACCTCGCCCCGTCGCTCCCCCTTTCCAACTCGGCAATCGTTAGTGGTAATCGCTGCCCTCCACACACACCATCAACGTCAACCAATCCCTCGGCACTTGCTACTACCTCACATTCACCCTTTCTACTGCCATCTCCGTCGGTAATCGCTGCCCTGCCGAATCACCGTTCCCGCCACCTACGCAAATGTCACAGCAGCTACTACCGCCTCCTGTGCTCCATCGCCCCGCCCCCATTCTACTGCCATCTCCGTCGGTAACATCTGCCCTCCCGCATCCCCGTCCCCACCACCTTCACAATTGTCACAACAGCTACTACCGCCTCCGTTGCACAACCCCAACCCCTTTCTACTTCCATTTCTGATGATTTCTCCCACTTTGGCCGCGGGCCCGTTCGCCGTCACGGCCTCTCGCGCCGACGCGTCTGCCCCCGCCTCGCCGCGCCGCGGACGCGCGAATATTAGTTAACGAGAGCGCGGCCCCTCCGCGCAACGAGGAGGGGGAGGGCGTGCGAGCTGGGGCCCGGGCACCGCCCCGCCCCGCGCCGCCCCGCGCCATGCCATCGCCGCGTACCGCTCGCCGGGAACCCACAGGCCCCGCTCACCGCGCAGTTGATAGTGTGCGGTTACTGACGGCGCATTTGATCGAACGGCGTTAAGCGCTGTCTAAAGCGGCTCCCGGAGATGGCTGCGACCAAACGTGCCGCAGGGACGGAACACGCCCAGACTGCACCGCCGAAGGTAATATCACGGGTTGAAGTAAGAGTGTGTTATTTGTACGTATTGTCTACTAATGTCGCGTGTGTATGATAGTAATTGAGGAAACTGAATAGAGGTTTCTTGTAGAATAAATTAGCGTTCGATTGTTACATTGCCAGGTGTGTTATGTTCCGTTAGTACATGGTGTTGCATTTGAATATTTTATAATGTGCCGAGTGCCATTAAAGTAAGAAGTGAAACCTTCCCTGATTGGTGATATTAGGAACAGACGCTGTTTCCCTACGATGTTTCGTTAGTGTTTTATTAGTATGTCTCATGCCTACTATTGTCGCATGTCTGATAGTGGTTGAGGAAACTGAATCGAGGTTTCTTGGAGAATAAATTAGCGTTCGTTTCATAAAACCTCGTAGTCAATTGTTACATTGCCTACTGTGTTGTGTTTCATTAGAACATGGTGTTGCATTTGAATATTTTATAATGTAGTGAGTGTCATTGAAGTAAGAAGTGAAACTTTCCCTGATTGGTGATATTAGGAACAGACGCTGTTTCCCTACGATGTTTCGTTAGTGTATTATTTGTATGTATCATGTCTACTATTGTCTTGTGTCTGGTAGTAATTGAGGAAACTGAATCGAGATTTCGTGTAGAATAAATTAGCGTTCGTTTAATAAAACCTCCTAGTCGATAGTTACATTGCCTGTTGTGTTCTGTTTCATTAGTACATAGTGTTGCATTTGAATATTTTATAACGTACCGAGTGCCATTCAAGTAAGAAGTGAAACCTTCCCTGATTGGTGATATTAGGAACAGACGCTGTTTCCCTACGATGTTCCTTTATTTTACGACATATCGTTTCTCCTCCGTGGATTACCGTCGAATAGCACCCACCTGTTGGGTCGCCCGCAGCTAATGGAGCCGTCCGCTCCGCGCCGGGCGTTTTATCACCGTCGTCGTCGTCGTCGTCGTCGTCATCGTGCCGCGGTGCTCCTAACTCCGAGGGGCCGTAAACCGCCCCGGCTGCTAGGCGTCCGCGGTCGGGCAGCGCTGCTCCAGCCCCGGAACGCGGCGCGGCGCGGTGTCGCGTCGGCGACCGGCGTCGAGTCCCTGGCACGGACGCCAAATTACGAACAGCGCGTCTCCACACCGGCGTTTGCGCCCGCGCCGCCGACGCCACCGGCACCTGGCCGCCGCGCCAAGGCCCCCTGGCACGCGCTGGAGAGATTTCATCCAAAGAACACGCGCGCCGAGATGGCCCAGCTAGTTGGGCGGGTAGGCCGTGGAAAAAGAAAAAAGAAAATAAATACAAATCGTTATTTTTTTATCTTCTTGGTCGATTTTTTGAAAGGTAGATGTTGTTCGAAAGAAACGGTGTCAGTTATTCAATTTGTTGAGTCGGTAGATCTAAAGGTATAATCGAAAGGAAGTACTAAGATATTGGAGAAGAGTATCAAGATTGATTGTGATTGATTCTAATTATTTATTTAATTTGTGCTTTTGGCACGAGTTTGGCTTTTAACGCATTACAAGGGCCGTTATAAACATTTTTGCGTATAGTACATCTACATATTCTGCTATTTTGTATCATCTCGTGAAATAAAGGGTTCATAACGTGCCGTCACAATTTAAAATTGAAAAATTGGTTGAGTGGCATTACTCTTAAAAGTTCCGTGAACGTAAGCCAAAACATTAAACTCTCTGATCAATTTTCAAAGATTATTAATTTCTCGTTAAATTTAATTTAATTTTAATTGCTTTTCCCTATATTAGAGTTGCTGGTAATAGTTTTCTGTTGCTTCGTTCGCAACTCTTAACAATGACATTGCTACTTGAAGATGCGGCGTTCTCAGATTTGTTGGCAGAGGCGTGAAAAGGGGGAGTGAGGCGGAGCAGATGAGGCGTGGGGCGCGCGGCCGCGGGCTGGCCAGCCGCCAGCCTCGGCTCCGCAGCCGCCTCGCCGCCAAGCGCTAGCGCCGGCGCGGCCACGGCCCACGGCCGCGCACACGCGGGCGCGCTATTTTCTCTGCAATCCTCCGAAATTACGCGCCCCGCATGGCCGACGGAGCGGCGATATAAAGGGGTAAGATGCGCGAGGAGTATATAGATGCCGTCGGCGTCGTCGGCAGACGAGCGAGGGGCGCCGGGGACGTAGAGGTTCGGTGCGTGGAGCGACGCTGTGAGGCGCGTCGCCTCGTCGGGCAGCCGCCTGGCACTGGCGGTACGCGGCGTCGCCTTGAGGGTCGGCGCCGGTTGAGATTGCGGCGTCGCTTCCTGTTCGACGCGGGCGCTTCCTTGCGTCGCGGTGGTCGCGGCGGCGCTTCCCCGGGTGCTCCGCACGCGCCGGCGGCGGCGGCGGCGGCGGCGGAGGGGATGCTTCTTCGGGCTGCTGGTCGCCGGCCGCCCTCCGGGGGCTCTGCCTTATGCGACAGTCATCGTGGAGGACAGGATCTGCTCGGCCTCGGCGAAGAAGGAGAAGGCTGATGCTGGGCAGCACGTCGTCGGCGAGCCTTGCGAGTGGACGGCGCGGCGGCGGCGGCCTGACGGCGGACCGCATCCAAGAATCGGCGGCGTCGCGGCGGCTCTGCCTTGGGGGGCGGCGGCGGCCGACGGGCGGCGCGCTGCCTCGACACCTTTCGACTTCCAACGGCGCACTAATATCCACCTTTGCCAGCCGCCCCGCTTCCGCCACTCGCCGTCCCGGGCCGCGCCAGCTCCGCACCCCGCCACCGCCTCCGGCCCCCGGCCCGCCCCGCCCCGCCAACGCCGCCGCGTCGGCTTCGCTGCACGTCGCGGCGCCGCCCACCACCCGGGCGCGCACCGCGGTATGCTAAAACCACCGGCGTTCGCGCACATCGCGTTCGTGCTGCACTAACAACCGCGGCGCATGGCCCGCGCAGGGTGCGTCGCGTTTTCCGCAGTCCACGGGCTTTCGGCGCGCGCCGGCGGCCGCAGCTTTTTTGTGTGGTGTTGTGAGCCAAACGGCTCCTTTCCGGCGGCGCTTCTCGATCTGTGCTCTCGATCGTTGCTGACGCAGGGTACACGACCGCCGCCGCGCCCTGCACAGAACGGAGCGCGTACCGGTGTGGCCTCCGGGTTGACACGGCGCCCGTTCGCTGGACTCCTTGCGAAGGAAAGAGCGTTGAGAGGTGTGGCCACCCCGTGGCGCCGGGCTCCCCGCCCACGAAAACCCAGGCGCCCTCCGACGCGTCGCCTTCAGCTCTTGCGTTACTCTTGGAAATCCTATACTCCCTTGCGAGGTAAGTCTTTGCACGCCGCTCCACAAAATGTTTTATTTGTTAGGTAGGATGTATATCCTGGGAAAGAGCGAAAGATTTGTTTAGGCTATTTTGGGCGCGACTAAAAATGTAATTGAGTGGTCAAGTTCTTGGGGGGCTTCTGTATTTGCACCCTGAAATTTTAATTTATCTAAATCTCAAAGAAATTTAATTTTCTCCAACGCACCATTCTTTTCTTATTAAATGTCTAATGTCTACAGCTTTGTGTAATACCATTGGAAAATGGGAAGTGCATTTTTATATCTATGAATTCTTGGTAATCACATTAGTTATATAACATTTAGCAAAATACTTTCCCCGTTGATGTCGTCTGCACTCGTAGTAATAAAGGACTTGTAGCGTAGCACATAGCCAGTGTTGATGTACCTTCAGTTTGATTTATATTACCGGAATTGAAAACTCGGCAATCCAAAGCATACTGTGTGCAAAACCCAAACGTAATCGCGGTAATATTCTGAGATTTCACCAGTTCATTTCTCTCTCAGTTCACTACCTATTTCATTGTGTATTGCTAATTATTCCACGTAAGCGCCCAATTAATTACATTCATTTTCATTATAATAGATCTTATCGCGTAACACCGCAGAGAGATCGGTAACGCATGTCGGAATTTGACTGCGAAACCAGAACCACAGGGCAATCTCCTTCGTGAATCATTGATACTCAAAAGTCGATTCGTCGTCCCAATAAAAAGGAAATGAAACGATTTATTTATCTTTATATCCTCTTCAAAAATTATTTCATATGCATATTAGATAAAACACAAATTCAAAATACGACACAACATCCACACCAGTATCAGTTACTCGCATCCTAATGTAGGTTAAAAGCCTTTAGGAGAAAACTATGTCATTTCATTACTGGGCATGCAGCATTGACCACATCACTCCTGTACATTGTCCCCGACCGGATGAACAAAGACACCAATTACAGCGCGGAAATGGTTAAGGAGACCATTAGTGGATCGAAGTTGATCCGTTGCAAGACGGCCTGCGTTCAACAGACGTCAATGGCACACGTTACTTTCACTTAAATAGTTTTGTTCTCTCCAACGGCGAAAGCCTCCATTAGGAAGAATTAAATAAAGTATTTACTAGCTATTTTTGACAAAAATCCTCGTTCAATGAAAACTTGAAACGTTCATCGCGAAAACTTTAAATCTAAGACCGCCCATAAAAACATCATCACACGCAGACTTCATTATTTCTTAGTCGATGACAGCTATACCTCAAAAGGAAGGAAAAACTAATTTAATGTAGATTTTTATTTTAAAAAAAGGTGCTCCACTTCCAACAGAAATACATTGCTTACCACACTCAAAGTATAACATTTTTTGCAATAGAAATCAAACGATAGAAAACGAGTCATTCTTTAAACTCCATAAGCTATAACATTACTCCTCAGCTTTATCAGACCAAACTTGCTCGATATTGCTTCCTCTCAAACGCACAGAAATCGATTGACGAAAAACAACCCTTTTCAAGTACTAATTGAATTCGATTGTGATCGTAAAATCCTGTTTCTTTCAAAAACCGCGGCTTTCCATATGTTGCTTAAAAGTGGACTTCGATCGAAGGGAAAGGACTCGGGTCTAATTGATAGGTCCCTTGCCTGTGTGGGGGCGTTTTATCGCTGGGTCTAGGGCAGCTGTCCGACGGCTGCCACCGGCGCGCGGGCTGGCGCAGGGAGGCGGCAAACCGAGTGCGGAGGCTCAGTAGAACCGCTAGGCGCTGCGCAACCTCCGCCTACACTCCGCCTACACCCTCCGCCTACACCTTCCGCCTTACTTACCACCTTCCGCTACACCTCCGCCTACACCGTCCGCCTAACACCGCCGCCGTACACTCCGCCTACACCTCCGCCTACACCTCGGCCTACACCGTCCGCCTACACCCTCCGGCCCTAACCTCCGCCTACACCTCGCCTACACCTCCTGCCTAACACCTCCGCCTTACACCTCCGCCTACACCTCCGCCTACACCTCCGCCTACATCCTCCGCCTACACCTTCCGCCTACACCTCCGCCTACACCTCCGCCTACACCTCGCTACACCTCCGCCTACACCTCCGCCTACACCCACCACACCCCCACCTACACCCCCCACCTACACGCCCGCCTACAGCGGTGTGTGCATCCCGCGATCACACATGAACCATCATGCTTAACTTCAAAACGGTTTGCGCCCTTAATCCTGATAAGCCCATTACCTTTGGGATACGCTGTCTTCCATTCATTGCGGAGTTTCTGCTTCGGAGTATCCTTAGCCATAATCATAGAATGGTTTGCCACGAACGTTGGAAAATATGGAAATCTAGGCCCAAATAAGCAGACTATTTGATCAGTACTGTTCCCTTTAATCATATGAAACCACTTTTTTGTTAGTAAACGCTTATTGTACAGTGTATGAAAATATTAAACCCACGCGCATAACCCGGACCTACAAGATGTAACATCACGTCCAGGGTCGAAAATTAATTTTCATTTTGAAAGTGATTTTCACTTTTTAAAGCAATAAATTGATTCAGGGCGGAATGTTCCTATTAATGCCAACTTAAACCACTAAAATACTTTAAATATTGTATTTCTACTTAAACAACCCAATTTAAAAATTGAATCGAGTACGTGTCGTATTTTGTTTCGTATAAAAAGGAAATATTCGTACCGTCCATTATCTATCTCGAAAATAAACGTGAAGGCACAAAAAGGGCGTTGACACGTGCTCCAAGAAGAATGGAGAATAATTGTCGTCATTTCTATGATTATAAGGGAAACATAGATGTCAAATTGTCCGCTTAATTTTTTTTGCACAGATTTCCAATCCCACGGTCGTGGCAAACCATTCTATGATGTAGCTAAGGTACTCCGAAACAAGACAGAGTGCGTGAGCTTCAAGCGGACCTTGACCGTTTGCCCCAATACGCTGACA